TGCGAAGCCGGGGCGGGTCACTAGTAATATATAAAATAATTATTTTTCTTCTTTTTCTTTGTCTTCAGGGAAATAAATCCGTATAGTTGTGATATTTGATGTGTAATTTACTTCTATTCCTTACTGCGCAGTAAAAATATAATATTTCATTATTCCCTACAGGCCTAGTTGCTGACCTTTGTCTTTGTTGACGTGAGAATACTGCGAACAATCTCGGCCATCTGTTATAGGGCAAGCAGTATTTTTAACCGACTTCAAAAAAGGAGGAGGTTATACGTTCGGCCGGTATGTTGCTTTTGTTAGTAATATTATAACATCTGCTCTGTTAGTCGAGACTGCCTCGTTAGTCGAGTGGGTTGGATTCGCGGGTCGGGTAAAGTACTAGGTACTGCGTTTTAAAAAAAAATCTTAGTAGTAGCACGGAGGCAGGAACTGTGCTCGGTATATGGCAATAGGCTCACCCCCTATTACATGGAAGTCATAACAAAAATAGAGAAAAGTGGGTGATACATTGTATAGTGGGATTAAGTGCCGTAATGTGCGCATCTGCCTATCCCTAAATAGCAAATATATTAGCTGTCTCAGCGGGGGTAAAAGGTATACAAAATTATATATTTTTTGCCATAAATAGATAGTAATTTTCTTGGTGTGATGTGACCTAATTACCGCATTTATTTTAGCTTCGCTGCTTTGGCTGACAATGCTTATACCTTTTCTATTGTAGACCTAGAATAAGTTATTAGTCCTTACTTAGGTAAATACTTAGGAAGATTATTTAGCTTATTATCTTTCACTTTTTTAAACCATTTTTTGCTAAGCTTGTCATTTTTTAAACTAGTAACCTACTACGCGTATTACAGTTATTCATTATGACTACAACTGAATTCTTCGAAGCACGTATCAATCTTGAGGTGATGGCATTGATCACCCATCCAAAACCCAACCTCGGGTAGCGTAGCTTGACCTATATTCAGTATTACAACAATATATAAGACATTCGACAACTTCTTAATTTGAACCTTATTATTACAACATAATAAAAAACAAACGACTGCCTCGTTGGCAGAGTGGTCGCAAGCGCGCTTGCTGGGCAAGGGGTCTCGGGTTCGATTCCCGTGTCGGGCAAAATATTACTGGGTTTTTCAGAAATTCTCAGTTATAGTAATACGGAGTCTGGAATTGTGCCCGGTATATGGCAAAAGGCTCACCCCTTATTTCACGGAACTCATAACAGAAAGTGAAAAGTGAGTGTTACATTGTACATTGGGATTACGTGCTGTAATGTACACCTCTGCCTACCCCTTCGGGGATAAAAGGCGTGATGTTATGTTATGTAAAAATAACAAACACATTCTCTCTACAATATTGACATAGAAATGCTATCTCAGCCAAGATAGCACCTAATATATTGTTTTATCAGATAACTAACGAGCTTCACAGTGTTTGATTAACTGTACTAATGTGCTAAATATATGATAACAGTTTTGGTTGTTTCATATACTTAGATGATAAGTTAAGATGTAAATTGTTTTCGTTCTCATCACTTCATAGTATAAAACAATCGCTATCCCCCGTCTGTCTGTCCCTATGTATGCTTAGATCTTTACGACTACGCAACGGATTGTGATGCGGGTTTTTTTTAATAGAGTGATTCTTAAGGAAGGTTTATATGTATAATACATGATTATTGCACCCGTGCGAAGCCGGGGCGGGTCGCTAGAAGATATTATTAGAGGATTCTTGGGTAAAAAAGTAACTTTTACTTACGTAGTAGTTCAGTAACTCTTATAGGTACCTACCTTATATACGAATAACTAGCTTCTGCCCGCGACTTCGTACGCGCAATCCCGATATTTGTCGTTCCCGTTCTTGATTTTTGGTAAAAAGTAAAAAAAAGTATTGGGTAAAAAGTATCCTATGTCCGTCTCCTGGCTCTAACCTACCTCCCTACCAATTTTTATCCAAATCGATGTAGCCGTTCTTAAGTTACAAATAGTGTAACTAACTCATTTTTTTTATATATAGATAACTGTTATATTACGTCATACGAGCGGACCTATCAGTTCTTAACGTATGCCATTTCAGTAACTAACTATGAAAATCTGAAACTAAAGACTACTTGCCCAAAAGAGAATTAAGAATCCCTATTGCAAAATAGCACAAAAAATGTTTATTAAAAAAACGTTGTATAAATGTGGTGAACTTACATATAAAACTAAAAGCATGTTCCTTTAAAAAATCAATAAATATGAAAAACGTGTCCAATATCCTTACTAATATTATAAATCGGAAAGTGAGTTTGTTTGTTTGTTCCGCTATCACGCCGTAACTACTAAACCGATTGCTTTGAATTTTTGCAGACGTAGAGTTGAAAGTCCGGATTAAATAATAGAGTACTTTTTATCCCGGAAAAATTTGATATTCCCGAGGGAAAACAAAAGTATTGGTATAGATGGCGCTGTGTGTATTGGTATATGTCACATAGGCTACTTTTTATCCTTTTGTGACGCGAGCGAAGCCGCGGGTAAAAGCTAGTACACACCTAAATTATTCTTTTAACCAATTCTTACGAAACATATTGATAAGGACTTTTTATCAGATTAAGTAGGTACAATCGTTTCGACGAACGATTACTTCCATTCAAACTTCATCAAACATAATATATTATTGATTACCAACAACTTTTGGGTTACAATTTAAACCGCACCTATTTCTGATAGTAAACATTTATTGAGAATTTATTTTATCATCGCTTTATGTATCACATACTAGCTGTTGCCTGCGATTTTGTCTGCGTAGAATATCAATACATAGTATAAAACAAAGTCGCTTTCGCTGTATGTCCGTATGTATGCTTAGATCTTTAAAACTACGCAACGGATTTTGATGCGGTTTTTTTTAATAGATAGAGTGATTCTTAAGGAAGGTTTGTATGTATAATACATGCATATTGCACCCGTGCGAAGCCGGGGCGGGTCGCTAGTAAATTATAAAAACATAACTTTTTTTGTTTCGATTGTCCAATATAACAGTAGCCCTATTACACTTTCCTAGCGGGTAACCGTGGCTCCGGCTCGACGTGCAGGAGAAGGAACGGGGTGGTTTTTAGTCAGTAAGAGTTTGACACTCCCTCCCGCCTCGCCCAGGCGGGAGCAGTCATTAGAAAATTTTCCCCCCTTAAAAAAAAATTACACTTTAGAACATCAGCTACCTGCCAATAAAAGTCTTGCAAAATCAGTCCAGCCATTTCAGAGATTAGCCAGTACAAACAAACAGGTTGTTATTAGCAGATGGCTACTGTATTAAAATGTCAAATACTTACCAAGCGGTCACCGGTGACCGCAACCTATTGTTCTATAATTGTGTCTATAATGACGGTACTTGACGAGTTAAGGCTACTTTTGTTATTTAAAAATTGAATCAATACATAGTTAGGTATGTCCTAAAATTCATATTGTACGCGGACAAAGTCGCAAGCAACAGCTAATTAGATTGATAGGTTTAGTGATTTCTATTTAGTAACCTATTTAATATACTAAATGGTAATCGAACATCCAAATCATTTGCGGTTTTGGGTGTAGTAGTAAATATGTAACATCATTTAGATAATGGTATATAACTATCAACTGGGAGTGGTTGTAATCAATATATTTATGGGTAGGTATTATCTGTACATAATTGATAATATAGACCGTACAATGTTTATCTGCTAGGGAACAAAGTATTACTAATTTAACAATAATAATTTTTTTGTCTTAGGTAAAAAGTAGAACCATTACTGCCTAGGGCACCTTTGGTCGTAAATCTATATCTAAGTACCATGTTTTGCACGTTTCAGAATACCTTCGTACTTGTATCAATTTCATCTTTACCAATGAACAACTAACTGATTGTTAATCAAATTCTATATTTCATTTACAGATTAGACAAAACTCGATACCTTGTGTAATCACGAACACCAGAATCAAACTCAGTAGCAGCATTTTCGACCACTATGTGAGCAAATATTCACAAATCTGAATATAAAAGAAGTCGGTTAATAAAGCTACAAGGTTATTAATGTAGGGACATAATACGAATATAATAATAGATACTTATACACAAAAACATACCTAAGTACCTACGAACATTAATTCTATTCACGCAAAACCGTAAACAACTTATGAGTCATCGAGATAAATACAAGAAAATCTTCGTATCCATGTAGTTTTTCCCCTCCATTTCACTCACGTGCTTAGGTATAATTAATTGTAATATGATGTTAAACAACCCATAACCTTTCTCAAGATCAGGACTTAGAAAAGAAAAAAATGTTTTTCATACGGGGCCGACAGTTCTAAAGATTATTGTGTCAAATAAGAAGGAAAACTATAATTCTATATATATATTATGATACTGTTGCTAATATATAATCTATTCCATTTAATCTAGAAATTATTACGGAAGACCTTGCAGTAAATAAAGACTTTAATGATGCAGCAATCGAGGCAAATGACGATAATGATGAAACATTTCAAACTGTCCTAGAAACTGATGAAGGTAAATAATTACGCGAACGAGGGAAAATGACAATAAATTATAATATAACCGAGCCAGTACATAATGATACACGCCATGAATCACAAAATAATGACACAAAAACTTTTGATGATAGCACAAATAAACAAACGTAGCACGAAGCTTCAATAACAAAGTTGGCAGAACAGAATTCTCGAAGTAAACACAAATTAGCGTCAGAAACTAACACAAAACTAACATCGTGAATAACAGAATTGAAAGCAAACACAATATTTATTATTTTAATCTAAAATGGAATCAGCGAAAACAACATTAACGAGCCGATTCACACAATGCACGCAATCAAACATGAAATTGCAAACCAAATACCTTCCCACGGTTGACCGGACGAAAAACCGGTTGTTGCATACAGAAAGGAAATCACTCTTGTACGTTCCTTACTAGTAATTATTAAAAACTACAAAACTGGTTGACTGACATACCTTAGACACAAATATCCGATATAAATAAACACGAACCACTACACTAGAACATTTAAACACACATGTTTTTAAACTTCACTTCGTAAGGTTAAATATGTGAGTCGAATATCGATAGTCACTTTCGTTTTAAATCTATCGCACACGCGGTTGCCGGCTTTCGGCAAAAATTCGCGAGCACAACCACCTCCCACGAAGTCTCGAGCGACACTGACTTCGGTATTGTGAATGTGAGCGGACCCATTCTCGAATACTACGCTACGGCCATTCAGGTATGTGAACAACCTCTGAGATGGGATCATTCCATTCGAATACCAACTATATTGTTTCGAGAATAAAGATAAAAGTCATATACAGGCGTAGCAGTGATAAGGCTGCGTCGATATCAGAGCTGCGTCTAGGATTCCAAACAGAGTGAGATGGGAGACTGACGCGGTAATGTGTGAAAGAGAGAGGAGTATTTCGACATTAAGATGATTGGAGCGTGAAATTTTTATATTCAGTTTGCAGCAAAAGCGCAGCATCAGGACAATAGTGAGCACAGGAGACTGTTACTGGTGGGCTGCTTTGTCGCATACTTTATTTAACGATGGAAAGAGATGAAGCAACTATTATTCATTGTTTCAAATCGGCTTTCCTAGTCTAGTCTTCTTTACCCTTACTCCCTGGGTATTCGAAATGAAAATATGCATTCGATATTATTCAGATTTCCATCTTGTTCCACAAAAGCTCATTTATATGGAAAAAGGGAATTGTCTGGAAGCAAGAATAGCTCGCGTTTTGTTCTGATAAATCCTATTATGGGAATCAGTTTACGCCCACGTTGGTTAATTTCATGGAATCGAAAAATTTCAATCGCATTTTTTCCTCGACGTGATAGCCAGAATTTTAAGTGATTTCGGCTATTTTTAGTTCATTATTTCCTGGTGCCATAGCTATTAAAAAAATGAACCTATAACAATATCAAAATATCAATACACTGATGAATTTTAATCATCGCCAAATTGTCACCTTGCAATTTTAAACTTGACAGTTTGTACTTGCAACCACTGAACCTTTTTGGTCGTAAACCTTTCAAGAATTTACTGCAGACATTCTTCTAATTTATAAGTATACTGCACAAGTAGATGTAGTTCCTTCGTTTATTTAAAAGCTTGTCTTGGAAAGAATTTCTTATTACAGTAAGGGCCATAAAAATCCGCTGTTGGCACGGAAGATTTTTATATATTTTATATTATTTATAGACTCAGGTGCTTGTAGATGGAATTTCTTGGAGCTAGCATTAAATTATAAACTAAGTATTATATAACTTTAGTTGAAAAAAAACACTAGTAATATAACTCCATGGCCATGGCCGTCATTGGAAGTGGTTGACAGAGGGCTATTTATAAACGTCGACTATTATTCGGTTGTAGTAAATAGTACCTCTAATTATTTAATTTTTATGAAGAAGTTTAATATATATTTCGTTATACATTACAACCAAAATATATTTTGTTATCCATTGTAACAATAAAGTTCAAAGCGGCGCTAAATAGTCATAATTTTATACCCTACAACAACGAAAAACGAAAAACAAAAGTTTGTCAAACCCGGAATTGAAAGCCAAGACCACATACTTGACACCTGTAACTAAATCAAATCGAACAAGTCAGTACTTGTTCAATCAATATTCATTTTTTAAATTCTCAGTTCCCATGAATACATTTCACGGAATATTTTTTGTGCCCTGAGGGACCCCTAGACAATAAATAGAGGTACCTGTTAAGAAAGTTGGGATGAATGCGCAAAAAAACTTTTTGGAGTGTTACCGCCTTGCAACGACTTAACACTTAAGAATGTTAATAGATATAAGGAAGTTTTTGTCTGTAGATAAATGACACGGTATTCTGATATGATTATTTAATTACAGCACTAAAAGATTAATTAGCTTTTCTCCTAATAAGGACGTAATGTAACAAACGGGGATATAATATTATGTAACGATACAAATTTACAGTTTCAAAATTGATTAAAAGAGAATAAGCAAAGAAAAGATAAAGAGGGAATTGATTTAAATCAAAGAAGGAGAAGAGGAAGAAAAAGAAGGAATTTGCATCTTTTCTTTGAAGATTCAGTGTTTACACTCAATCTCCAAATCAAATCGACCAAACTTAAAATAAAATTACTTAGTACTTTATTGTAGAAAGCTTAAAATGTTTAGTCCCTATAAGATAATAAGTTTGTTATTAATGAGAATACCGACTGCCTCGCCGGCCGAGTGGTCGCAAGTGCGACTGCCGGAGTCTCGGGTTCAATTTCCGGGTCGGGCAAAGTAAAACTGGTTTTTTTTAATTCTCGTTTAATCTAATTTAATCTCGTTTAATTTAATTTTCTAATTAAGACTCATAACATAATATATGTGGTGAAACATGAGTGATACATTGTACAGTGGTATAATGTGTACCTCTGACTATCCCTTCGGGGATAAAGGAAAGTTATGTTATTAATGAGAATAGAAATGCAAAATTTCTAGCTAGATAATCTTACCTAAAAAGGAATCATTATTATGGTTGCAGCAAATAAATTGTGAGCATTAGTTACTAAATAAGTCTGCTGATGTAACATCCTTAACTGATTATTGTTTTACCTAGAACCTCATCCAAAACACGATGCAAACTGAATTTCAACATAATTTAACAGTTCGTGTATTCATTATCTGATATTTGTTCAGTAATGGTTGTGTACACGCCATTTTGTTTACTATAACAACCGTTATAAATTTGAAATTTGTTTGAAACCTAAAACAGTTGTGGTGTTCTCAGGAACCGTGTATTTTAGTTATTAACACAAATTATGGTTCAACGAGCATGGTTGTTTTGTTATACAAATACTAAATAGTTATATTATCGTATAATGCATTTGATATAGGAAAACAATCCTTATTACCCAGTGCAAATAGTGTAATTAGTATAAAAGTTGTTTGATCATGGTCGATTTTGGAAATGTTTCATGGACAGTTATGAGGTCTTAATTTCAATAACAACAACATCAATAGCCTACAAGTGGCCACCGCTGACCAAAGGCCTCTTCTCATACGAAGAAGGTATGAGAATTAATCACCACGCTTGCTCTGGTGGCAATTTCAAACTTATTATAAGATTAGAAATTATAAGTTTAGGTTTCGTCACGATGTATTCTTCATGGTTTGTCATTGGTGTCTAAATAATCTTAGAAAGTACTTATAACTCGGAAAAAGTAACATTGGTACTTGCCATTGATAGATTTCGAACCCGTATCCTCGTGCGTGAGAAGCGGGCATCTTAAATCTCCGATTCATAAACTTGCTGTATTGCATTTTCAATTGTTATAGACCTCAAAATCTTTGTAGATCGTTCGTAATCGTATAGTGACTTTGTTAGTTTTGAATGTGGTGTCCTCACAATATCTGGCATAGCTCTGCTTGTTAGACTCATTCATGTATTGTACTGTCGTGACCAAATAGTTACGACTAAGACGATAATAAAGCCATCGTGCATGGGTTCTTAAAGTTTTATGTCATCTTTTTAAATTTGTGTGAGGTCCATTCTCATCTATCTGTAGGTACTTCTCCTTCTTTCTATCTATCTATATATATAAAAGAAAGTCGTGTTAGTTACACTATTTATAACTCAAGAACGCCTCGATCGATTTAGATGAAAATTGGCAGGGAGCTAGCTTAGAACCAGGAGACGGACATAGGATACTTTTTATAGAATACTTTTTTTTACTTTTTACCGAAAATCGCGAACGGGAACGGGGTAAATGTGATTGCGCGTACGAAACCGCGGGCAAAAGCTAGTTTTTTATAAATATGTGATTGGCGGTGCGTCCCAACTATAACGTAGAGATAGATCTAAAGTCAAAGTCGAAGCTTTTGTTTAAATTAATGACTTTTGGCGCTTTTGAAACGTCATAAATTTAATTGTCCGTCCGTTTGGCTATCAGTGAAGCTAGGCTCGTTCCAAAGTGTAGTTCGAATGGAGAAGATCAAGCAAGAAAATCCATGGTTACTCTTTAAAATAAATGTTTTTACAGGCTCATTGAAACATCATCTGATCCTTTACCAATTGTAATTCATATCAAATCTAGTTGAGTTGGAAGCGATGGATGTAAGAGACATTAATCACGAGAAGAAACCTCCATTTGAGAACCACAATTACAATAGTACTTTTAGACCTTCAAACATGAAGTACAATTCCATTGTTTTGTCTCAGTATCCACAATTAGGTGTAATTGATACAATTGACAAATGACTGACGCAAGCAATTCCCTTCTAAGATTAGATGTTCAAATTATTTCGAGTCCATGACTTGATGATGACTGATGTCAGGTCTTGACCTGAGTCCTGAATCCTGGTTACCTATTAATATAGACGGTGGCTTGGAGGCTTGGAATCAGATTATTCAACGTGCAGTTTTAGGACATCTTAGATTAGAGGATTTATATATTTTATATGGAGTTTCACCATTGCAAGATGTCATAACGATTTTGGAACTGCTACACATCATGGAGAATACATTACTATACCGTATTTCGTTAATACATCTACAAAATTAACGAAATACGTCGTTGGACTATACTCGTTGAATATAGACAGGCGTTTTTAGACAGGCCACATAAAATAAAAGGCCTTCTGCATTGCTTACCCTTTGTCATCTCCTATATCAGTATCATGGATGTAAACAAGATCCAACGTCTGACCAACGAAGCTGAAAATCGGACGAATGCAAACGAAGTTAAGCTTTCGGCTTTTGATTTGACAACGTAGTCTGCAATCCGAATTGCCACGCGACAGTGAGTTGGCGATTTCACACGCCTTTGTACCACTCGTCACGGAACAGGTACAAACATGTGTGTACATGTTTAGACCTGTTAGGGGTGTACGTATGTTCATATTGTATGCGATCGCATGCACAGTTTACCCTGCAACGCATGATTGTGCGCGCTACTGTGGTTGCCATTGTTCCTGTTAGCAAAAAGAATATATTTCGCGATGTGCAATGACAATGTATTTTTGTTCGATGTTTTTTTTTATTTTTTGTAACTTTTGAACCTGTGTTGAGTTTTGTTATTTTAATCGTGACTTTGAGATCTTTGTCTTTTGACAGAATCAATCTATCTAGGTATTTATTATCTTCTATTAGTTATATTATCTTTATATATATAATTCTTCTGTGAGTGTGTATGTCACTAAACTTCTCTCAAACGACTGGACCGATTT